GCCACGCAGACCCGAAGGGCCGAGCCGTGCTTCCGCCGGGGGCCGCGGGGCGAGGGCGAGGGCGAGGCGGGTCCAGGGGCGGGGGCGGGGCTTAGGCGGCGGAGCCCGGCGCGGCCCGGAGGCCCAGGTCTGGTAGCCCTCGCCCACCCGACCCCCACGGCGGGACACCGGCCCCAGGGACCGGCCTGCCCTTCATCCCTCCTCGGCCTGGCGCAGGGCCTTTTTCTGAGCCGTGCGCCGAGCCAAAGCTCCCAGGGAAGCCCTCGCCGCTTTCCGCTTGGCCCAGGCGTAACCTTCCAAGTCCCTGTTTGATTTACCACTGTGTCGCCCAGAACAGATGGCAGGCGAGCTCGCGGGGAGGGGGCACCAACCGGAGGTGGGGCTGCAGGCGCTGGGAGGCCCGGCCGCCCCCACGAAGACTCGCCGGGTCTTCCCTTCCTCTGCCTCCTCCCGCCAACAGGCCAGTCAGGGAGTTTCCCAGAGCACAGAAATGAAAATACCTGAGACACGCCAGACAGGAAAAGGTGGGAGTGACCATCGGTTATCTGCAGTGGCTGTGATGAACTGGATGAGCCAGTAAGCAGGTAGGTAGGGTAGGGAGTCCCTGGAGAAAGAGAACCTGGGGTGGCTTTCTAGACACGAGAGGCCATTTTTGCCCTAAGCAATTTTGTGGTCTAAGCCTGGCCACAGCGCTTGCCCTTGAACTGGTCTCAGTATAATGATCTTCAGTGAACACAGGAATACGGAAACAGTGCCTGGCAACCCAAGTGACAACAGCAAAGATACCAGCTGTAAAGATTCCCAGTGCTGGAGGGGGAGGGTACAGCTCCGTGCAGAGCGCGTGCTGAGCACGCACGAGGTCCTGGGTTCAGTCACCAGTACACCTCCATTACAAGAACTGAATCAACCGAATTACCACCCCCAAAACAAACAAAAACAACAAATAAATAAAAATGGCTAAGATGGTAAATTACAAAAAAGAAGAAGAAAAAAGACTCCCAGTTCTGTTTCAGTGGCAAAGACCAGCCTGAAGCCTCAACCACCACGCCCCCTGGGCCCTAAGGGACGATGGCGCTGACCTCGTCCGACCCTCCTGACTCCGATCAAATAAAGCTGGGGCTCTGTGGGAAGACACTGCTTTGGGAAAGAAGCCCCGTGTTCTCCTTACGTGCTGCAAGTAATAATAAATCCTTCCTTCTCCCGATCTTTGGCTCAGTTGTGCACTTGGGCTCGACACCCACCAAGAGGCCAACAAGCTTTTCAGGTAGCAAGCATGGAGGTCCGCTTCTGGAGCACAGTTTGGCTTATGTAGAACTGACACACCCCTCCATTTCTGTGTATCAGTCAAAAGACATATTCATGCCTGAGCTCAGGATACACGCTCAAAATGCCTTTTTTGCAGCAACTGTGTAACCGTCCAAACCTCCAGACGCTCTAAATGTCTATCAGTAGGGAAGTGGTTAAATCATCTGTAACATCGCTGTTTCGTGCCCCTTTTGGCTGAACCATAACCAATCCTGAGGCTGGACTGGCCCTCGTGGTTCTTACTATGATTGCAAGACACCCTTCAGCAAAGACCATTAGGAAACTTGGAAAAAATGTTTATTACTCACATTTGTAGGAATGCACAGGGCACACCTGGGGCTGCAAAGCGAGGTGGGAGTGGGGTGAGGGCAGGCGCCCAGGGCTCTGCTTTTACTGGGGTTGAGGATGGGGGCCTACGGTTTCACGGGCTCACTACTGGTAAGTTAAAAACATAAGAGCAAGAATTTAAAGCTGGAGAAGAAGAAAGAGCATGTGGCCCAAATGGTCAGCTACTGAAACCAACCAACCTCTAACGGTACCAAAGGAGGCTCAGGGAACTGACTGGTTGCCTGGGAGTCCAGTCTCTGGGGGAATAAAGGAAGGGCTACTCAACCTGGGGAGACTATTTGGCGGGGCCACTCCTTGGCTCGAGGAGCTCGCAAGGAGACCAGGGCTACCAACGTGGGGCCACGGGATCCCGAGAGCCCAGGGGCTTCCCAGAGGTGAGCCCCTTAAGCACAGACAACCACCCCACCCCACTGCAGAGCAAGTGCAAGTCGACAAGTCGTCAAGGGAAGACAGCGAGCGGCTCTCTCCCACCTTGACGCAGGAGAATGAGAGTGGTGCTGGGCTTCTGGCAGAGGCTACTGCAGCCTGGAGTTGGCGAGGATGGAGGAAGGCAGAAGGGAGGTGGGCAGAGAGGGGACTCTGGGTGCGCTGGAACCCAAACCAACTTTAACGTGACTTGCATAAAGTGAGCAGAATGTGCTTTCTGCAGGAAAATTTTAAGACATAAAAAGTGGAAGGCCCTAGAATGTCCATCTTCCAGAGACAAAGGCTGTGTCTCTGTATGTGCTCCTATTCCTTCTGTACACACAATACACTCGTTTTAAAATAAAAATGAGATATTGGGAATGGTAGCTGGAACAACGGCCCCCCAACTCCATCGCGTGTCAATCCCCAAACGTGTCAGTAGTCACCTTACGTGGCAAAGGGGTCTTTGCAGATATGACCACGTTAGGGATCTTGAGATGGGGAGAACGCCCCGGATCACTCGGATAGGCCCCATGTAGTCACGAGGGTCCTTATAAGAGAGAGCGGCAAAGCGGGAAATCAGAGAGGAAGCGTCACAGGGCAAGCAGAGGTTGGAGGGGTTGCCCTCCGGAGGTGGGGGAAGGCAACGTCTAGAGGCCCAGACAGATTCTCGCCTGGAGCCCGCGCAACGAACCGGCCCTGTGGAGAGCGTGGCTTCGACCCCCCGAGGCCCATTTTGGACTCCCCGCCTCCAGAAGTGTAGAATAATACGTCCGTGGTTAACTCCCTGCAGCAGCAGGAGGAAACGTGCGTTACGGAGCTCTGCATCTCAGCTAAGACCAGCTCCGTGTACAACGTACACACGAGTACAGCGTATACGTGTCACGTCCACGGGCGCGGGCACAAGCTAACTTCTCCCGGCCACACTGTGAGCCGCTCTCCGAATGTCTCCACTCAGCCCACCTGTACAGGCGGACATTTAGGCTGTTTTCACCGTTTCCGGCTTTACAGCATGTTCTCCTACGTGGCTACCTTCCTCGTACGCCATCCTCTGGGGGGCCCGCCTGGTTCCAAGGTCCCGGCCCAAGGCCAGCCTGCAAGGCGGCAGATGCCACTAACGCGGCCGGCACCGCGCGCCCGCGCAGCTGCGTGGGCGCCGGGGCTGGTGGCAGCCCAACAGCGCAAGGGCTGGGACGCGGACCCCCTCCGGACCTTCCAGCCCCCTCCCCCCGCCGGGACAACCCTGACCCCGCGGCCCCGCGAGGTTCTGTCCCGCTTGCGTTCCGCTCCCGCCCGCAGGAGCTGCCCACCCAGCTCCCCAGGGTCTCGGACGACCTAACGGGGCGGAGCTGCCGGCGGGCAGATAGCCCGGCCCAAGGCCCAACACCCTGCGGCGCCACGCGGGCAGACCTGTCTGCCGGGGCCGCCCGCCCTTCCCGGGAGTCGGCTCCTCAGAGCGGCGTAAGGTCGACCGTTACTCAATTCGAGGAGGGAAGTCTGGCGGACGGTCCGGGACCGCGCAGGCGCAGACGCGGCGCCCCGCCGGACTCCCAGCGAGCCCCGGCCGGGACGGCGGGCGCGCGTGCGCGGGGCGGGCTCGGGCGCTGACGTCTTCGGAGCGCGCCGACGTTCGCTGGGC